TTAGCAACATTGGAATCGAGAAGATAATGGAGCAATGTCTTCAAAATCACAAAGGAAAATGACTTTCAATCTAGAATTCTATACATAGACAAATATCAATCAAACGTGAATCTAAAAGACATTTATGCAAAGCTTTAAAAAGGGGACTTAAGGCAAGACAAGGTTTCCACTTTCCTTGAACTGATAAAATGTCTATATCAGTGGACTGTGAAGTTATGTAGGAATAATGTAATACCTAGAGCAATCATTAAAAAAAAATCGATACAAAGAGATGCCAAAAAAATGTTCAAATAACCTGCAGGAAAGCAGGAAAAAAGAAAACACAGGGGCAGCTGGTTAGCTCATTTGGTTAGAGCGCAGTGCTCATAATACCAAGGTTGCTAGTTTGATCCCCACTTGGGCCGCTGAGATGCACCCTCCACAACTAGATTAAAACAACTACTTGACTTGGAGCTGCTCCCCAATAAAAAAAACAAAAACCACAGAAACAAAAAGCAGAGAGAACAAATAGAAAACAAAAAGTAAAATGGTAGACTTATGCCATAACATATCAATAATTAAATGTAAGTGGTCTAAATTTACTGATTAAAAGAAACTGACAGGATAAAAACAAATGACTCAACTCTACACTGCCTACAAGAAACTCATTTCAAAGATAATAATATAGGTAGCTTGAAAACAACAGGATGGGAAAACCATGCAAACATTCATCAGAAGAGAACAGAAGTGGCTATATGTAAACATCAGATAGACTTCAGGATACAGAAAATTACCAGTTTCAGGGATGCACATTTTATCATGATAAAAGGATCAATTTAATAAGAGGACATAGCAATCCTTGATTTGTACACATCTAACAGCAGAGCTTCAAAATATGTGAATTAAAAAATTTGATAGAATTGAGAGGAGAAATATATAAATCCACAATTATATTTGGAGACTTCAATAGAATTCTCTTAACAATTCATAAAACTAGACAGAAAATCATCAAGGACATGGAAAAACTCAATATCATCAATTGACAAGACAGAAATGACATTTATAGAACACTCCACCCAACTACAGCAGAATTTACAAAGATAAACCATGTGTTGTGTCATAAAATAAACCTCAACAAATTTAAAAGAACTGAACTCATACAGTGTGTGTTATAAAAGTACAAAAATGGAAAACAGATTGGTGGCTGAAGGGAGCGAGCGTTGACTATAAAGGGGTAGCTGAACTGGTCACAAAACAGTTCTGTATCTTGGTTTTGGTGGTGCTTATATAATCTACCCATGTGATACAATGGTAAAGAGGGAGACACCTATATTGTTTCAATGTCAATTTCCTGTTTTGATATTATGTAAAATGTAACCACTTGGGGCAACTGGGTACATGGGACCTCTCTGAACTACTTTGAAATCTATAATTATTGCAAAGTAAAAAGTTGAAAATTTACTGCTTTCTCAGGAAGCTGTAGGAACATATGCTCTATCAAATATTAGCACAGATCATGAAAGAGAAAGACATGGACTCTAGCTAAAAGGGGAACCAACACAGAAGAGAGATAATTTGCAGGGTGAGAATGAAGAGA